GTGATAGACAACATCGTAATGTATATAGTCATCATTGGTTATTAATCCGACTTCTCTTCGGCTGTTTGAGTTCAAAAAGCAGTTATCCCGATTACCTCTTCTCTTGTAATCGATCGTTCTGCATCCTGAGGTCTTGACGCAGCGCATCACACAGTCGAAAGCGGATTTTTCCTCGACCTCCTCAAAAGCCTCGGTATCAAGAAATGATCCTGAAGAAACGATATCACCCACTAATACGTTAGAAAAAGCATTCACTGACAAGTCTACGCCCGTTATATACGACCAAAAAAACAAAACAAAACAAAACAAAACATCAAAAAACAAAAAAAAATTGTGATTGGCATAAGTCCCCAGATTGGACCAAATTTGGAAGATGTTTGCCGATATCAATTCAATATTGACATCAGTGAAACTGATATTTACAGGAAAAGGGACACACGACGCGGAGGCTCAGCTATTTTGACAATGCAGTTCAAATCATTGACATGCACCAACAAAACATGTGTTATTTGATTAAATTGTGTTTCACAAATGTGAAAAACGTATGTTAACTTTTGCTTTTAATCTTGCTAAATTTGAAGTCAACAAAAATCAGTAGGTGCATACCTTTATGAAGAAATTTTATTTGCTTTACTGAGCTTTGGTTTGAATGCATGGAGATTATGAATATCTAGGTATGCCGATAGGAAAACTCAGGAGATTATATACCTCCGGAATAACGATAAAATACTGATGTGGATTCTGATCTGATACCAATGGCTTTTGGCGATGAAGGCTCGATTACCAGCCGCTGTTTGGGAAATGAGCTCGCGCGTCGGGAGGACCGAGAGAGCGGCGGAAATCGAGCCTAACGGCGATGGAATACCGATGAAAGCCGAATTTAACTTACCCATTTCTGAAATAAAGATCGGAACAAGATTCTGATTGGCCAATGACAGCGCAATGAACTGTGGGAAGAATGCGATCAAGAATTTTCCACCCAGCCAACCCATTTTCATAGTCTGAAAACGAAAACAAAGCATGTGTTTGTGGTTTTTCAACTAAATTCTTCTTACTGTTGATGGATATAAAATCGTCACTAGCTAGCAACTATTAGTACCAGTTTGGACAATTTCATACAGATCATCACTGTATTTGGCTAAACAAGTCTCGAGTTGGTGTCTCTACCTCACAGAAATGCAGCAAAGGTTTATTTTAGTGTTGATTTAATTTTTCAGACTTAAAGAGACGTCGCATAAAATAAATGAAAACTTCAATATCAATACGATTAAACGAAAATTTGCCTGAATTGATCAAAATACGCATAAAACTACATTTTCTTTTCTTTTTCTGGGGGCTTGAAGGTACAGGCTATTACCAATTTGCACCAAAAACGCATTTGCCAATTCAACCTCACTGTGAAAGTTTTTCAAGAAAGTTTGGAAAAAAAATGAAAAAAAGTTGAGTTAAGTTCTTCGTACCTTTAACAAGATCCTCGCTTTATCGATTTTTTACCTTCAGGCTTGGATTTTAACCATCGCTGTTTTTATTTCACTAGCAGTTCATGGACTTAGTGCAACCAACAACTGATGAGTTACAGGTGTATCACTTATTACTTAATAGAGGAAGCGATAACAATATTTTATAAACAAAATAGAGCGAAAAAGAGTTCCAGAGAAATCGATGTTGGAACAAATCCTACAATTGTACAGCTGTGAAAAGATGTTCTTTTCTCATGGGATTTTGATTTAGCTTTTGTTAAACGTGTGCTTGTTATATTTACGCAGCTAAATTAAATTTAAAAAAATTATATTCTTCGACTGTAAAAGGACACCTTTCCTTCAAATTAATCTCGATTACTGTTAAAACCGAAACATAATGGAAAAAATACACCTTCCAAGAATCCTTGAGGAGATTACTAACACGGAAGCAATTACTATTTTGGAACTTCACTGATTTTATTTTGAAAATTCATGAATAATTTATAGTAAGGTATGGGATCCGTTTCTCGAAAATCCCAGCAAGCTTTTCAGGTCCTAAATCAAATATTCAAAGTTTAAAGAATTAAAAACGCGGGTACCAGCTAACAAACCGTACCAGTCCTTTTTGTTATCTGATAGTTCTATCAATGTATTTGCAAAACTATTGAAACATTTAACTTGAATGTAAACAACAACTGCTTTCTGAGCCTGATTGATAATTATCAAGACCTTCGAGAAGTGGGCCCCTGGGCTGCACGTCTAATCTCAAATGAGTCGAACCCAATGCTAATGAACAATTCTATTGTTCTTAGACACCAACATTAGGTTCGTCACATGTAAAGTTCGATGTTTGACCCTGGCCTTACTATCACTTATTATGAATGTATATTTTAATCAACCAGAGTTTTAATAGTCAAAACAAGGAATGCATATTAGACTGAAATGACCAATAGGGCAGTTGCGTGATGACGTCATTTACATACGACTACCAGAATCCGCACGTCAGTGTGATGCTTTCAAGTGCAAATTACAGCTATTGTCGTTAAACCCCAGTGGAATTGAGAAATTTAAACAAGAAAGAAAAAGCGAGGTGAATTCTGGTATTAGCAGTCAAATAGCCTGAGAGCAAGCTCTCCTGGGGGTACGGGGGTGGGGGAAGGAAGAGGGAATGGAGAGGCTAGAGTAGTGTAATGATGGGATACTACTAAAACGGAGAACAGGGAAAGAGGAAAGGGAACGGCAAAATGAAAAGTGGGAACAAAATAGAGAATGGGTAATGAAGGTACTAACAAGGATATATTCCCATTTTTTCATTTTCCCGATCCCCGTGCTGGTTCCCCGTTTTATTAACATCCTAAAATGATGTCACCGTGAAAATGGCCTGTAGTAAGTTCCATGTGAAATATGAAAAATTGTCCTGTATTCAGATTGTCATTCATTGTCATGACTTCACTCAAACGTTTTCGTTTCGCTACATTATGTAACCCCATTGTACATGCTTTTAAAAAGCATTGCAATTCATATCCGATAAACACCTCTGTAAGTGACTGACTATGCCGAAACATGTATTTCAAAACGAAAGGTTACCAAACTATTTTTTCTCTTCGACGAAAGTCTCGTTCTTTAAAGCTCTTTTCTCGTGCCTCGCCTTTCGAGCGAATTCTAAGCCAGAAACGTGCTTACGTCAGCGTTCATGGCAGGGTCCGTGGTTTCGCCGGGTAGAGAACGCGAACAGCACGATATCTCTTCATCTCTTGGTTTAAAGTGAATTAGGAAGTTATTGCTTTATAAGAGGTTAGAGCGATTTATTTTAATCATGTCCACATGATTACTTCAGCTAAGGTTTACAATGTTGTATTGAGTTTTCTTGACCTGCTGATAAAATGATATACAAGTAAAGCTAAAAGTCGACAACAGTTTGAAAGTTCATGGCTATTTCATTTTTTATTGTAAATTCGCATCCAGAATGCTTTTGACTCAGTAATTCCTGGAGTATTTCTTGCGTCTTCAGATCGTCTAGTGACATTTTGAACGCAAACGCAAAGTCTGTTTAAGTGCACCAAGCGAAAATAGTATTTGCAAAAACCAGTGGACTCGTTCCATTATTTAGCCTTTTATGGAGCTGATTATTCATCAACAACTTCCAGCTGACGAGGTCCATAGAGAAGAACATAAGCGCAATGCCAGTCACCTGAAAGAAGAAAAAATAACGAGGTCAGCATAAAAAAGGTATGTCTAGGCGCACAGTTCAGTAAGCTACAATTTGGATGAAACTTGGATCACATGACTAAGAGTGCCTCTGGATAACTGCCAAAAAAATAAAAACAACGGCGCTGCAGAGCTCCTTCACCGTACACAATTTTTTGTTTTCGGTTTACAATTTGAGACTGAGAGAAGTGAGACTTCACGGAACGTTCCTGCAGGTCGATTAGTTCGAAATGATTGGAATACCACTGCACTTTACTTCTTCAATTCATTAATGATCCATAAGGAAAATCAAGAAAATTTGCAAATCAGAAGAAAAACTCCTCATTTTTACAGCCTTAATTTCCCTTTTTAAAATCATTCTGCTTGAGACGTGAGATCAAATATTCGACTCAGTATTTCATCACAATATCAAAAACTTCTCGACGTTTGTCAAACATCGTCCGCTTCGCATCGTGTTTTTCACTTTCTTCTCACTATTTGATTTTGTAATGAAACACGGTGTCTCGTGTTCGATTAGCCAAAAATAACTCACACTTCCCTTAAATGTCAAATGATCTCCTAAACTTAAAATTTCAAAGGACTGTGCCACAGGCAGTCCCAAAAAACTGACAGTTGGAGAAAACACAATTTTGCCACTCAACATCGACCATTTCGTTTCTTTCTAGAGTGGTATTTCATGAGAGATGGGGAAACTACCTTGAGAAAATAGTGAGCTTAAGCAAAGACGTTTTTAAACGACGTACGTCAACCGGAAGTGGATTTTTTTAATTTATGGGCGGTGGTTTTTCCCAAATTTTCGCTAAGTCGTCTCCATAGCAGTAAAGAAACTTTTAATACAAATTTTTTAGCGTCAAGGTATTTTAAAATGAAAAATACCTCACTTCCGGTTGACGAGCGTCGTTCAAAAACGACTTTGCCTAAGCTGCCTGATGACGGAGATGCTCGTCGGGGCGCTTAGGAATAATAAATTGCAAATTCTTGTTTCACTTAAGGCGTTGAGGACGGAAAGCCAATAAGTTTACCCGGGGAGATTATCGCTTTGGGTTGTGCGTAAAGAAATACCTAAATTACAACATCAAACTGCCGTCTTACTGTGTTGGAGCCTGAGTATGATCTCTTTTAGGAACCGGTCATTATTTATCGCCTGGGAGGAGGGGGGTCGGAGGATTTAGGGCTAAACACGGTGAAATTTAGCCCATCCCCCCTTTGAATGTTACTTCACTACTTCACTGAAGTGATCTCCCGCAAAAACTATTGATAACTTTCGTGATCCCCCCCTGCCATGTCTTCATTGTCTAAGGAAATTGGAGTGGTCCCTCCAGACAAACACTTACCACCGCCAGAGAGCTTAAGGATATCTTCCGACGTGACGTTTGACATTTTATCATCATCACATTTTACCCAATTATCTGTAAAACATAAACAAGCATAATCAGGCAGATCCTTTTACTGTAGAACTAGGAAAACCGTGAACACTAGACATACTATATATTACTGGAATGTTATTGTGTTTCAACGTGAAACTCCGAACTGCAAGCAACCCAGTTGGAAATTATCCACGATATTATCCCATCTTAATACGAAAATCATACAAAATTTTTGATCAAGATTCCTGCAAGATCTTCGAAAATATCTTGTGGGAACCTACCTTAAAAAATCTTGTAGGATGTTGGTCACGATTCATGTAAGATCTTGTAGAATCTTGACCAAAATCCTACAAGATCTTGTAGGATTTTGGTCAAGGTTCTTACAAGATCTTGTAGGATGTTGGTCAAGATTCTTACAAGATCTTGAAGGATGTTGGTGAAGATTCTCAGTACAAGAATTTGTAAGCTGTTGGTCAGGAGTCTTTACAAGATCTTGGCAAGAACCTTGGTAAGATCTTAGTAAGATTTTCAGTTAGGGACAACAGTAATTGGTTCATTGTTTTGTGGCTTGCTTGCAAATCCCAATCTTCGCTGTGATGGGTTATAACACATTGAAACAAAAACACTTTTCTGAAATATTTCAAGTGTTGAAGGTTGACTTCGAGAGAAAATGTTCGGTATAAAGTGTCTAAAGCAATTTCTAAGTTTGAGTTAGTAAGGAAAAAACAGCCTGGCACCATAGCGATGTAGAAGGCGTCATAATATTGCGTTTTTGGTAACTTATCAAGTAGTGAATTCCTATTAGGAGGAGAGCAGCTGTGTATTTATAGCTCAACTACACCTCTGTGAGGCAGGAAACAGGGTTCGTACACGTTTTCAAACAAAACGGTTTTTCAAGGACTAATTTATTACACACGTTCCAACTAAACTATAAAAATATTCCGATAATAATGGGCCTTTGTTCTCACCACTTTTATGAAAATTTTTTTGTGACTAGTTGGGAAGAAATAACCTAATAAACAAGAGAATGATAGTGATGATGCTCTACAACAGTTATATTTTATAAATGTTGCAAAACTACGAGGGCTAGTTCTGGCATTTCATCGTAGCCAATGATCAAGCTTTTCCTATTCTGATGGCTTCAAACTGGTATTTGCTAAAATTTTTGGACGTTTGAAATGTTCCACAATTAAAATTCGAGGACTTTCAAGGATTAAATCAATGAAAGAAAACTTAAAGGATTTCCAAGGCCTTGAAAAAGGACTCTATTAATTCAAGGGTTTTCAAGACGCTTGGGAACCCTGAGGAAAATTAAAATTGCCCAGGGTTCCACAGTTCATTATTACCTCCTTTCCTTCGTATCCAAGCTAAGTAATGCCCAGAAGAAGAGGATCTTCCCTGATGAGTAAGCACTGCTGTGAGTTCATAGTATCCACTATTGTTTGAGCCAACATCTACAGAGAGAACACTTAATCAATCATAACAAAACCAGATGAGAGCGGTCTGATGGTCTCTAAAGCTTAGGTATATATGAGAGTTAATACACTGAGGAACTTCGTGGTAAATGCGAATTAGGCCTGGTTTAAATGTTGTATTTTGCAAGTGCCAATTTAAGGTAAATGAGCCAGAACAATAGATTTTCCTTACTAGCATCAAATTCAGCACATGTAAAATACAACGTTTGAACTGGGCTTAAGGTACTTCTCTTATGTTTTACATCAAGCAAGCCGATAAAGAAATTTGATCATGCCTTTGACTGGATTTTACTTGTTTGAATGGTCAGTTAAATCCATTTCTGTTTCATCTTAACATAGTTCTGGTGGTAGTAGTAGTAAAACTTTATTTATCCACAGTAACAATTAACAAGAGTGCTCTTCCATCAAGCAGTGCTTTAGTAGTGTTTCTTTACATAAACCAATGGATTCTGCATCATTTTAGCATAAAGTGTTTTAAAATCACCCTTCTTCTCAAGGTTATGATTGGTCAAGATACACTCAGTTATAATTAATGACGATCCACATTGATAAAACTTTAGAACCAAAGTTTGCCTTGAAGATCTTTGATGATGATGATGATGATGATGATGATGACAATGATAATATTGCTGCTGATGATGATGACGATGCTGTAAAAATGATGGTAACAATGTTGATGGCGATGACGATGACAGAGATAATGATGACAGTGATGATGGTAAGTATGATGAGTATCTGATGATATAACTTATTAACAAAAACAACACATTACCATCTGGAAAAGAAAATGGTTCCAGCCTTGTCTTCTTGTCAACATCCATCGGTTCTTTACCTCCCTCTTTTTTACGATTCTGAGACAAAGAAAATAATTAAAACAGGTTAAAGATTATAATGATAGAGAAATAAAACTAGCAATAATTGATCAATACGTTGCACAATGGTTTGACTAATTGAATGACTTTGGAGCATACACAGTAAACCGTTGGATTTGTCTGTTGGAATTTTTTAAAGGTTTTTAGTTCAAAAAACAAACAAAAAACCAAAACATTTCAGAGGCCAAATACGATGGCTATAAAAATATCGTAAACTGCCGCTATATGCCCTGAGTTTATACATAGTGAGGGGTTTTACGTGGGCTTATAAACGGATGTTTTTTTTTGTTTTTTGCCGGATCAATTTAGGTTTCTGGGAAACTGCCCACCTCCCCCTACCCTAAGTAACATTAACACTAAATTCTCACTTTGGGCAAAATGCTGGCTTAGGGGAGGGGTAGGTGGGCAGTTTCTCAGAAACCTAAATTAATGCCATGAGCCTATAACTGAGAAGGAGGGAGGGAGGGGGGGGGGGGGCTTACAAGCAGCAGTTTGCGATATGCTGCTAATGAATCCCTTCTAAGTATCAAAATTTCTCCCTGTTCTCTTTTCTTACCGCTGCTTCTTCCACTTTCTTGTCCTCAATTTCTTTAAACTTTGCTCTAACTGGCATGAGTTTCTGTTGTAGCTCTTCAGAGCACAGGTCAAATACATCCAGGTTCAATGGAAACTTCACATCCTAATGGCATAAACACAGTACATCTGAACTTAGCACTTCTAGACAGTTGATGTATTTTTGGTGGCAACCATATAAGGTGACTAAACCATGAATGGTGAGCTGACTTGCTAAAATGTGTGACACGTTAATATCACAAGTTTCTTTTACACAGAGTATTTTACATGTAGAGATACAAATATATGAGAATGAGTGGCATGTTTAAAAATTTTAAACCAGTTTGAATTGAAAAATTTAAACCAGTTTACAAAAATTCAAACCAAAGTTAAAATTTGAACTACAACATATATATGAAAACTCAAGTTACCTTAAGTATTTTGGCATTTATTGCATCTTTCTCCTTAAAATAAAACCTGACAAACTGGACTGTCAGGTAAGCGGGTAGGCGGCTCAACTTTGACTAGAAAAAAGACATTGTAGTTCAATGAAAGTTTAGTAAGTTGTTATGTTAACTAACTGTTACAATTAACTGTTTTTACAAGCAATAATGATTTTATTCAGATGTCCTTAACGCAACTCTCTTAGTGAGCACATGCAGGAGAGAGAACAGATGTTTCAATTGCACCTTTGGAAATTTCAGGTATGCAGATATATCCCCCATTTCAGATGCTCTAAAGGTTCATGTGTTATTTTTGGTGGATAAGGTTACATTACACTCTGAAATTAAGACCAGCTTACCCCACCATCAAACGACATAAATTTGCCAACAGTATCTACCCTATTTTGTCAATATATTAAATTCTCCCTTGTATCTATTTCAAAGCTGAACTGGGGACCCATCATCCGTTTGAAGCTCCAATCTATTCTAGCCTAACATTTTTTAAAGAAAGATTTACTACTTGATGTAGTTGAGCTGTTTATCTCGCCTTATTTAATTCAGAAAATATGGCAAGTGCATAAATCCAATCTATTTTGTTTAATGTTTTAGAACTGTTACCAACAATGCTTGATTTTATGAACAACACTCTTTATTGACAATGCCTTGGAATCTGCATTTGAACTGCCCTTCTACTTTGTTTGCAGATTTACACTCACAAAAAAAGAAAAAAACTTACCTTCTTTGTGTACACTGCATCTCGTCCAAGTGTTGATGAGTGTTTTTCAATGTTTTCTTCAAGGCGCTAAAAAAGAAGAACAGAAACAACTTTTATGAATGCATCTTGTAGTCATTAAAACAAAGCACAAGTCCAAGAAAAGTTCATAAATTCTGGATGATTTGACCGCTGGAATAAAGATTAGTGATAAGGGTATACTTACACTAACTAAACCAGTGTGCATGTATTTCACATCTGAAAAGATGAAAAAGATAAACAAAAAACAAATTTTGTCACTTAAACTTTTACTCATAACTTACAATAATAATGATAGATACTGATCTAAAACACAGTGCTTGCTGATTCCACAACATACCTTGTGAAATGAAACAACTTAGTTGGAAGAGAGTTTCCTTGGACTTCGTTTCTGGTTCATCAGGTGCTTCAGCACACTTCATACTGAAACTATGTTAAAGTTAAATAACTAAATAACTAAATAATACCCCTGTAATATAAAAATAATGATTTAGTTCAGAGGTAGAACATCTTCACAGTGGTTGCTAACCTATGTTATTGTTATACCGACTTTATTTCTGGTGAAGTCCAAACAGTGCCAAAATCCATTTATGCAAAGCTATTTCAAAACATAATTTAGTGAAAATTTGAGCTGCTGGTAGCTTGATGTTCAGTTCACGAACTGAAGGTGCCTTCAACAACAATTTTCACCTCTGAGTCTATCAAGATGATGATTGTTATTTCAGGTAGTCATCTGTCAAACTCTTGTTGCAATAAGTTTTGAATACAGATATTTTGAGAAAGGTTGTTGGAAAAAGTGCACGTGACGATTCCGTATTGTGGGTGGTTTTGAGTTAACTGTTCTTCAAAGAAATTTGAAAGAATAGCACGAGATGCCATGGACATGTTTGCGAGTGCTAAAGGAAAGCAACAAAAGTAGGCTTGACAGCTACAGTCGCCAGGAACAGTGTATTGGTCATATCCCATATTGCATTCGGGATTGTCACGTGCACATTTTTTTCCGACAACCTTTCTCGAAATAGCTGTATAAAAATTATGTGAACGACAAAGGATACACAGACTCTGATTCAATTCCTGTAAGCAAAGAAAAACAAGAAAAGATTGCAATCATAATGTATGAGCACCATGTGGATGTGTTGATATGATTAGTACTATTTTGGTAAGTAAGACGATTCCCACATTCTACGAGGCTTAGGATGACAAAATACAGTGCCTTGTATGACCCCAGGGGATACTCCCTATAATGGCTAATGCAGGGAGGATCTACCCAAAAAGCGCCCCCTTTCAGGCACCAGTTAAATCAAAGGGTAGAGAGTTCATGATCTGAAGTATATAAAATGGTAGGAAAATCTATCATCAGACGTGTCTTATGGCTATGTCATTTCAACTTACAAGAAAATGTTAAGAAACCTTTCTGTTTTAGCCATTATCTGTTCTTATCAAGTAGGTTTGTTAAAGGGGTACCAGTGCATTTCTCAATGGAAGGTATATAAAAGGGCAATTAAGAGATTGGACCTTAAGGCAAAGCATCCCCACAAGTCCCCCACCCCTCTAAATTAACCCCCTACATAATAAAAACCTTGGTATAAGAACAATTTTCTTTATCCCAATTGAATTAACATGGGATAACAGAATGATATAACGTACCCCTGTTATAAAAAGAAAATAATAATTCTCCCAAACTTAAAGGTAGCTTCTTTGTTAAAGGCATGAAAGGATCAAACATGCCACCTACCAAAATACTGATCAATGAATCCTTTTGCAGCAGTAGCAGCGGCAGCCTCAGCTTGTTCACCACTTTCTGTGGATTTTATGCCAGGTAACCTTTGCTGCAGCATTCGAACAACCTGTGTCCAACATTCATTGGCATCCTACATGACAGAAACAAAAATCAGTAGCACAATTCTGTGCATTTACTTCTTTAAATAACAAGTTAAAAAATGAGAGAAGGTCAACAAGTTGTTTAATGGGGTGACAGAAAGAGTTGGGGAGAGGTGTGATATCAACAAAAATTATTAACATGTTAAGGTAGTGATAATGATGATGATGACAATGATGATGATGATTTTTTTAATCTGAGGGGAGTGGGGTTATCCATGTACTGTGAAATGAAGTGAGATTTACTGGTATAAAGGAAAATTATGGAGGAACATTTGCTTCCAAGCTCTGGGATGACTGCTGATAAGTGCATTATTGTTGCTGAAAACTATTGCCAGAAAAATATGTTGATGTCATATGTGAAATATATTACATGCTGTTGTTCATTATTGTGAGAAAATATGGTTATTGGCAACTGTCAGTCCCTTTTCTTCATTTACTTGTCAAGTTTTTGCAAATATCCATCGAAGAAGATGACTAGCAGATACCAAACATAGAAACAGAATCTACAGGTCTTACAGAAAGTTCCAAAAACAGATCACGAGTTTTTTCACCTCTCAGGGACCATTCACAAGGATTTAGCACTGAGGTACGAGATGAATCTTTATAAAGCAAGTTGTGTACTGCGCACCAAGGTGGGTCATTGTTGTTGTTTACCTGTTGTGCATATATTCCTTGTTCTGTTTTCTCTGCAAAGTGTGGGAAAACATTGTGCAGAATCTAGAAAGAGATTGTATTTTGTTGGGTTTAAGACTTCATTTTAGCATTTTTACAGATAAGTTAAAAAAAAACTAGTTAAAAAAGACAATGTTTTAGTGTCATTGTGATGGCATTGTCAAGGTAACCAAGTTCAAGGTAATTGGAAGAATTTATTACAACTAGGATCAGAGGACCTTTTCATATAAAAAATAACCAGCTCCACCATTGAAAGGTCCTTATACATGTATGGTGTACATGATGTAGGTAAAATCCTTTTTCAGGTTTAACTAAAAGTCAGCCTAGTTTGACTCACAATTTCCTAATTTCCCCACTACAGTGGTGTGTTCATTTTATTATTAGAGATATTAAGAGTAGTGTTAAAGTAACTTGTAATTAATTTTTCATCTCAGTTAATTTTTGTTTTTATTTATGTTTTTGGGTATGGTAATGTATGCTAATGAAATTAAAACAAAGGAAAAATAAAAATTACCTGAGATAAAAAATTAACTGTACAACATTTACACCAAATTGCAAAATGTGAATTTGTACCATGTGAACAAGTTTTCTGTTTACTATTTATCACTTCCACTAAAAAACAAGTAGACTTTTCACGACCATTTTATCCATAAGAATTATTATTCTGGACAGCTGATTATTTTCCATTCTGAGAAATTCTCAACTTGAATCTGACATCTGCCGTAAACCTGACTCTTAATCTCTTCATAACAAACAAAATGAAATATTGGAATTGAATCGCCTTTTAATACCATAAGAGATAAACAAACCTAGAAAAATGTTAAGGGACAATACACCAAACGAAATTGAAATGAATTTTGTGCATGTTTTAGCTTAACATTGTTATTCTGTGTACCACCAAAGAATTTGTATCTGTCAAACCTGTAAAAAAACAATAGGAGGTAAAGTCTCTGGAGCTTTATCCATGATTTTGTAAAGATCTCTCAGTGCTGTTGTTATTAAGTGTGCTGAATCTGCTGACATTCCAACGGCCTTGTATCTATTAAATAAAAGTTAAACAAAAGGTTGACATGTACAAGGTTTATGCATCACATTACATAATTTGTGTTGGGTACGGGTAGGGCAATTGATCTAAAATAGTTTAATAATAAATATTTGTAATCCTCAACTCTGAGGTGATCACAAAGAAAACTAATAATAATATTAGAATTAAAAAGCCACAGCAAAAATAGCAACACAAAAAAGACATGTTCTTGTCTCACCCTTTGTAAATACACTAATAATAATGATAAAAATTTAATGATGGTGATGTTGACAACAATGACGATGATGGTGATGGTTTTTATTTCAGTATCCCCCAAAGTGACTCCAAGTGAGTTTAAAAAATAATTGTTTAAAAAATAATTACAGGTACAAAAAACATGCAAATATAAAACAGGAGAAATAAAGAGGTAAAAAAGGAAGACAAACTGAAACCAAAGATAATGTCACAGGTGTTTGGGCCCCCACATCATAAGTCTGATAATTAAACACTGTATCATCTTAATCACTACCTTCATCAAAAAGACCAGTCTAGCAATGTTATGGTAAAACTTCTTACTTTGTGAGTGCATCCTTTAGTTCTGGTACATTCCGCAGACACTGCACTGTGGCATTCATGTAACAGGTGTTTCCCAGGTTATTAAGCCCAGTTGGCATGTCATACTAGAAAGTATCCATCAAAGTAATACAAGTATAATAAATATATAAGAAAATATTTACTGGGTAAAAACTTGTTTTAAAAAGAGTTAAATTATGATCTAACCTCCACTAGTGCGGAACATATTTGTACAAGGTCTGATTTTTGTATGATATACATGTACATAGAGAATACTGGTGCATACTACTTTTATCACTTAACTTACATAACATGCTACAACCAGTTGCAAAAGTACTTGAGACACTGTACCGTATTTTGGCATAAATGGCCTGTCCATGATCTTGTGCTTGTGATCCCCCCTCCACCCCTTATCAAAGTTGCTAGCAATACAAGACCATACTCAAAACTTGGAGGAACAACTTTGAATGGGAGGGAGGAGGGAGGTCAGTATTATATTTTACAGACCTGTGACCAGGAGCGATTTGAAGCAAGAAAGGTCGTTTTTCCGTGGGAGTGTCTCATCATTTTTGCAACTGGTTGTCTGAGTCCTTCATACCCCTATAGCCGCGGTGCATGATTATTAAACGGGGTAAAACGTGGTGCACTCTTAGCACCTAAGGAGGTGGTCATAAAAAACAGTATTTCATTTTTGTCGGTTTGCCTGTTGAAAAATGGCGACACAAAAACGGCAGTTGTTGGCCCTTTTGTTTATGTGGTAATATGCAAGAACTTGGGCTTTTAAAGGAAGCACGTGCCAAAAGATGCCACACCATCTTAAGTAAGCTGCAACGAAAGGGGTTTTTGGTCCTAAAACGCTACAGAGATGCGAAAAATAATATATTTTCTTCGAACTCGGTTAAAAGATGTTTATTTATGGAAGCAAAGTGACGTAAGATGCCCCGCTAGATCAAGGAGATAGCTTTTTGGTGTTGTTTCCGATAAGTACGTGGACGTGGTTCCTCTTTTATCGCCTGCCATTTACAGGAAAGAAAAGTTACGCTAAAAAGCAGCTGTTGGCGACTTTACTTTACTTAACACAAGTTTGGATTTGTGTTTACTCTTTGGTCGTCTTACAACTTTGTTTCGATTTTGAAGCCCGAGTGTGGCTATAGGCATCAGATAATGAAAATTCACGTGCGTATTTCAGTAACATAGTCGCGAGAGCTCGCATATAACGTGGCTTTGTAGTTCTGTACTTGGTAAGGAAATTTATTTCTTTGCAAAAAGGAAGACACTATCCCCAAGAAAAGCAATTTTCCAGCACAGCAATGTCAGGAATTTACGTGCTTCAACGGTCTACACGGTCTACCATCATATGAGATAAATATAATAATATATTCTATTTCTTACTGTTGCAGAATGGTAGACCGTGCTGCATGATGGTAGACCGTCAGAAAATAGAAGTTAACATAGCACACAACTTTTTCTGCTCTCTAACTCTAACGGACTTTAATAACCATCTTATTTTCACCGTAGTAGATGAAAAAAACTGAACGGTTTTACTTTAACAGCGATGTTGAAAAATAAGTCACGCGGTATACCGATTACCTAACGCCATTGCATATCAAATGTCATTGCGTTACAGATACAGGGGTGAAAAGGAAGGTTTGGCAGCTTTATTCGCAACTATAGTATCTCTAAATACCAAGAAAAGGAAAATTATGCTGTTATTATGCATTCGCGCTTCTCAGAGTTTAATTACAACGCCGAAACTTTAAGCTATGTCACGGTAGATAATGGCGCATGCGTTACAACAAAACTGAGGCAAAATTTACAAGTCACTACATTCTTAAGCGCTTTTTTAGGCAGTTTGATATCAATGACAATGATGTATCGGCTAGGAAAAGCAACACAAAGTGTCATTCTATGTATTTATGTTGCTATAGTCTTCGTTTTGGGAATTTAAGACGTGGAAATCGCTTGTTGAAGTAAACCTTAAATGAGACAACCAGTTGCAAAAGTACTTGAGACACTGTACCGTATTTTGGCATAAATGGCCTGTCCATGATCTTGTGCTTGTGATCCCCCCTCCACCCCTTATCAAAGTTGCTAGCAATACAAGACCATACTCAAAACTTGGAGGAACAACTTTGAATGGGAGGGAGGAGGGAGGTCAGTATTATATTTTACAGACCTGTGACCAGGAGCGATTTGAAGCAAGAAAGGTCGTTTTTCCGTGGGAGTGTCTCATCATTTTTGCAACTGGTTGTAGCTCCTAAAAATTTAAAAGTTCCTTCCTCTGTCATTTAGCAATTGTCTATTCCTTCAGCTTTTGCCACAACAATTTATTGCAGGTGTCTTTAAAAAATTAAGACATTCTTTTTGGACAAGAGTATTAACCCTTTAAATGCTAATAGTGCGTGACCAAAATGATCACCAAAGACAAAATGCTTTCATCTTTTATCAACTTCTGTCAACTTGTTCTTAAGGGAAATATATGGAGATCAGTGTGGAGATTTTGTATGTGGATCCGTTATTTGAACAGAAGGGGTACCTGGAATAAATACCTTAAATAACATTCTCTTGAAATTTTAGTTGTTATAAATGTTTACACTACTTTGATTTGTAAATTTAAATAAATAATGCGAATGCCATAGTCCCTGGGACATCCAAAATGTTTTCACTGTTCATTTGGATGGTATTTGATGTTTGACAGCTAATATGATGTTAACTATTAAAAACTGTGTTACGTGGACACCCTGTATAAGCATTTCTCTAGTCCCCAAAGGCATCCACTTGATGCAGGTTTCTTTATAATAGGACTGACGAGAAAATTGATCTTAGTTACTTTTGAGAGACTTAAGGTGATGTTACACGAGACAATTTGCAAGGATGATTTTCAGCGCAACACAGCCTTGAAACGTTGTTGCAACATTGTTTCGAATGTTTATAACACTGTTCCAGCATTGCAATGCTGTGTTGCGCTAAAAATCGTTGTTGCCAATCGTCCCTTGTAAAATCACCTTTAAAGGATTACACAACACTCACAGCAGATGCTAACTGAGCTTCTGTCATGTCCTCAACAAACACTGTCTTCTCAGCAGGTGCTTTTGGCAATTCACCAACAGATCCCATCATAAGCAGTGTGATGCCCTGAAAAAAAAAAAAAGAAAAATTTTCCTCAAAACATTGAAGTCAGATATTCATAGTTTCAATAAAATCAATGCAACTTACATTCTTTATCTTGAAGTTTCCCCAGTGATCATTATCCTGGATTTTAAAATAATATGAAATACATGAATGAATTAATCAAAATTAATTTCACCTTCTAGGCTGTTCATCATTTAAGGTCTTACGATATGGTATAAAAGTATCATAATTAGACACACATGTAGACAGACAGGGGATAGGTAACTTATCAGATACCCTTCCTCCAAGGGAAAATGATTATGTGAGCAACATCAATCGTCGGACCTAAATCCTACAAGATCATGTAAAGGAGAAACTATTCTTGCGAACGGAAAGAACTAATCCTGGGGGAGTAGAATGTAAATGGACAACGTTCCACATACGCTTACTCAAAAAAAATCGGTGTCACGTGTTTGAACTTGAAGAAATCAGTGAGAAATGGACACGAATGCTTTGTTATGACATGAATCACAAAACCTACAACTTTAAAAGCTTAACAGTGAATGATTTCACAACGTACCTTTAAAACCGATCCTTTAAGCATGACTTTTTGTCTCTCCGGAGCAACTCCTGACAGAGCAAAAAGTTGAGCTTTGAAAACGTCAGGAGGATCATCTGTGTTTAACTCGACATTCTCAAATTTTTCTTTTCCCCACTTTATAGACACTGTTTCCGAAAAACAAAAGTAAATGAAAGTTAACTGAAAAATTGGCACAGAAGAGGACATAACGTTGTCGATCTACCTGTAAATACTGGCATTTTGTATAAAATTTTCTTTACTGCAAGAATACACTTCAAAGTTTTCTTGCCTTCGTACTTTGAGCAATTTTGTGTACAATATTTGAAGCGACTAGTGAAGGGACTATTGCTTCCGCTGACCAACTCGGTTGACATCTTTGTTTTGTTTGTGACTAAAAAAAGGTGCAGATCACAGTGCTGTCATTGCCATGGCAGGTCCTTTAGTTTGTGGGGTGATTGGCGGGAAACGTTCATATGATTTGCCAGGGAAAGGAAAACAATCAAATGGCACGAATCTATCAGCTTGCAACGAGAAGTCTGGAGCAGAAATCCGAGCTAAACGAACCTTTGATACACCGTCACGGTGATAAGGAGATTATTTCGCAGTCACACTGCAAAGTGAAAGTAAATGAGTTCAGCTCAGATGTGTCAGATTGTAATGCGGAAAAAGCAAGAACCGGAACCAGTGAAGACAATGAAGGATCTGCTGGGAAATTCAAGCGAGCGAGGAGCTCATCGTGTAGCAATAGAAAATGACTGAAGAACTTATCAAACCGGGCCATGTAACGCGCGTGGACAATGTAGAGAATCAAAATGTTGGTCATACAAAAACGTTTGGAAATGATCAGCTCCTGAATTTGCTGAATCAAGCTTCAGATGAAGAGATCCAAGCCGTTGTTGATAAATGCTGGAAAGAGATTGAAGAATCTTGTACGAGTATGTTTAATAACAGATCCATAAAAACAGTTGACATCACTACAGGATGGAAAGTCGTTCGACTTTTTGTCTCTTCTACTTTTGCTGACTATCACGCCGAGAGAGAGATGTTGGTGAAAAAAGTATGTTTAATGTTAATTCTGTCCTTGTAACGAATCAGATTTTTTAATCTCAAAATACTTTAACTTAAGTCATTAATTTATTAATTTAAATACATTAACTTGGGGGCAGATGGAAAAAGTTTATACAAACTTCGAAAATATTAAATTTCAAGAACCCCTGGATGTAAGATCCCTGGTTGTAAGACCCCTGGTTGTAAGACCCCTGGTTGTTAGAACCCTTGGTTGTAAGAACCTCTGGATGGAAGAACCACTGATTGTAAAACCCCTGGTTGTAAGAACCCCTGGTTGTAAGAACCCCTGGTTGTAAGAACCCCTGGTTGTAAGAACCCCTGGATGTAAGAACCCCTGGTTGTAACACCCCTGGTTTTAAGAACCCCTGGTTGTAAGACCCCTGGTTGTAAGAACCTCTGGTTGTAAGAACCTCTGGTTGTAAGACCCCTGGTTGTAAGAACCCCTGGTTGTAAGAACCCCTGTTTGTAAGACCCCTGGTTGTAAGAAACCCTGGTGGGAGGAACCCTGGTTGTAAGACCCCTGGTTATAAGAACCGCTGGATGTAAGAAACCCTGGTTGTAAGAACCCCTGGGTGTAGGAACCCTGGTTGTATGAACCCCTGGTTGTAAAAACCCCATGTTGTAAGACCCCTGGTTGTAAGAAGCCCTGGTTCTAAGACCCCTGGTTGTAAGAACCCCTGGCTGTAAGCACCCCAGGTTGTAGGACCCCTGGTTGTAAGAACCCCTGGATGTAAGAACCCCTGGTTGTAAGAGCACCTGGTTGTAAGACCCCTGGTTGTAAGAACCCCTGAATGTAAGAACCCCTGGTTGTAAGAACTCCTGGGTGTAGGAATCCCTGGTTGTGAGACCCCTGGTTGTAAGAACCCCTGGATGTAAGAACCCCTGGTTGTAAGAACCCCTGGTTGTAAGAACCCCTGGATGTAAGCACCCCAGGTTGTAGGACCCCTGGTTGTAAGAACCCCTGGATGTAAGAAACCCTGGTTGTAAGAACACCTGGTTGTAAGACCCCTGGTTGTAAGAACCCCTGGATGTAAGAAACCCTGGTTGTAAGAACCCCTGGTTGTAAGACCCCTAGTTGTAAGAACCCCTGGTTCTAAGACCCCTGGTTGTAAGAACCCCTGGATTTAAGCACCCCACGTTGTAGGACCCCTGGTTGTAAGAACCTCTGGATGTAAGAAACCCTGGTTGTAAGACCCCTAGTTGTAAGAACCCCCGGCTCTAAGACCCCTGGTTGTAAGAAGCCCTTGATGTAAGACCCCTGGTTGTAAGAACCCCTGGATGTAAGAAACCCTGGTTGTAAGAACCCCTGGTTGTAAGACCCCTGGTTGAAAGAACCCCTAAATGTAAGAAACCCTGGTTGTAAGAACCCCTGGTTGTAAGACCCCTAGTTGTAAGAACCCCTGGTTCTAAGACCCCTGGTTGTAAGAACCCCTGGATGTAAGCACCCCAGGTTGTAGGACCCCTGGTTGTATGAACCGCTGGGTGTAAGAAACCCTGGTTGTAAGAACCCCAGGTTGTAAGACCCCTAGTTGTAAGAACCCCTGGTTGTAAGAACCCCTGTTTGTAAGACCCCTGGTTGTAAGAAACCCTGGTGGGAGGAACCCTGGTTGTAAGACCCCTGGTTATAAGAAACCCTGGTGGGAGGAACCCTGGTTGTAAGACCCCTGGTTGTAAGAACCCCTGGATGTAAGAAACCCTGGTTGTAAGAACCCCTGGATGTAAGCACCCTGGGTTGTAGGACCCCTGGTTGTAAGAACCGCTGGATGTAAGAAACCCTGGTTGTAAGAACCCCTGGTTGTAAGACCCCTAGTTGTAAGAATCCCTGGTTGTAAGAACCCCTGGATGTAAGCACCCCAGGTTGTAGGACCCCTGGTTGTAAGAACCGCTGGATGTAAGAAACCCTGGTTGTAAGACCCCTAGTTGTAAGAACCCCCGGCTCTAAGACCCCTGGTTGTAAGAAGCCCTTGATGTAAGACCCCTGGTTGTAAGAACCCCTGGATGTAAGAAACCCTGGTTGTAAGAACCCCTGGTTGTAAGACCCCTGGTTGAAAGAACCCCTAAATGTAAGAAACCCTGGTTGTAAGAACCCCTGGTTGTAAGACCCCTAGTTGTAAGAACCCCTGGTTCTAAGACCCCTGGTTGTAAGAACCCCTGGATGTAAGCACCCCAGGTTGTAGGACCCCTGGTTGTATGAACCGCTGGGTGTAAGAAACCCTGGTTGTAAGAACCCCAGGTTGTAAGACCCCTAGTTGTAAGAACCCCTGGTTGTAAGAACCCCTGTTTGTAAGACCCCTGGTTGTAAGAAACCCTGGTGGGAGGAACCCTGGTTGTAAGACCCCTGGTTGTAAGAACCCCTGGATGTAAGAAACCCTGGTTGTAAGAACCCCTGGATGTAAGCACCCCGGGTTGTAGGACCCCTGGTTGTAAGAACCGCTGGATGTAAGAAACCCTGGTTGTAAGAACCCCTGGTTGTAAGACCCCTAGTTGTAAGAATCCCTGGTTGTAAGAACCCCTGGATGTAAGCACCCCAGGTTGTAGGACCCCTGGTTGTAAGAACCGCTGGATGTAAGAAACCCTGGTTGTAAGACCCCTAGTTGTAAGAACCCCTGGTTCTAAGACCCCGGGATGTAAGCACCCCAAGTTGTAGGACCCCTGGTTGTAAGAACCGCTGGATGTAAAAAACCCCGGTTGTAAGAACCCCTGGTTGTAAGACCCCTAGTTGTAAGAAGCCCTTGATGTAAGACCCCTGTTGTAACAACCCCTGGATGTAAGAACCCCTGGTTGTAAGACCCTTGCTTGTAAGAACCCCTGTTGTAACAACCCCTGGATGCAAGAACCCCTGGTTGTAAGAAAGCTGGTTGTAAGAACACCTGGATGTAAGAACCCCTCGTTGTAAGAACCCCTGGATGTAAGAACCCCTGGATGTAAGAAGCCCTGGTTGTAAGAACCCCTGCACGTAACAACCCCTGATTGTAAGACCCCTGGTTGTAAGAACCCCCGGTTGTAAGACCCCTGGTTGTAAGAACCCCTGGTTGTAAGAACCCCTGGTTGTAAGAACCCCTGGTTCTAAGACCCCTGGTTGTAAGACCCCTGGTTGTAAGAACCCCTGGTTGTAAGAACTCCTGGGTGTAGGAACCCTGGTTGTATGAACCCCTGGTTGTAAAAACCGCACGTTGTAAGACCCCTGGTTGTAAGAACCCCTGGTTGTAAGAACCCGTGGATGTAAGAAACCCTGGTTATCAGAACCCCTGGTTGTAAGACCCCTAGTTGTAAGAACCCCTGGTTCTAAAACCCCTGGTTATAAGAAGCCCCTTGATGTAAGACCCTGGTTGTAAGAACCCCTGGATGTAAGAACTCCTGGTTGTAAGACCCTTGCTTGTAAGAACCCCTGGTTGTAAGAACCCTGGTCCTAAGAACCCCTGGTTGTAAGAACCCTGGTCCTAAGAACCCCTGGTTGTAGGAACCTTGGTTGTAAGAACTCTTGGTTGTAAGAACATATGGTTGTAAGAACCACTGGTTGTATTATAAATAGTACTCGCAAGGTCTGTCATACATGGGACATGCGTGTATCGCATAGCAATGCACAAACACAAGTTGGCTATATATTTATATTTATTGGCTGGTGATGTCACATATGAGTTTGCCGTCTGTCGACTGTGTGCAAACAAACCTCCACTAAAGTCTATACGGCCACCTCTCCAATACGGCCTTCTGTCTACAATGGCCATTTTTTTGGGTGGACAGTCTATACATTCCCTCTTGTTTCAACCTCTCTACAATGGCCACTTTCTTCTGTCCCCAAGGTGGACGTTGTAGAGAGGTTCAACTGTACTTTCAAAACCCACCTTTTTTTCCTGCAATCGGCCTTTGAATTCTTGTTACCCCGTGAGAAACCCACAATTAACTCGGTGCTTTTTTGGTGATGAATTAAGGGCTGTTTCCAGCTCTGTACATTGATCTGCCCTTGAATTGGAGTTTAACGCCTGCTTTTTGTTAAAACTATAGCAATGCATGTTCTAAAGTAACAGCTGTACGACACAGATAATTTTATGCATTATGTCTTTGTAGGTGAAAAATCTGATACAAAAAAGTGATTAGGAGAGGTAATGAAAGAATGGTTTGCTATTTTACTGTGATTGTATATCATGACTGTTGACTTTAAGGTTGTCCCTGCATTGCGTGAGTGGTGTGAAGAAAGGCTGATCCATTTGATTGAGTGTGACCTTCGATGGGGAGTTCCCAAAGATTCCACAACAGAAGCGACCATCAGAACATGCCTAGGTGAAATCAATCACTGTTCAGAGGAGACAGGTGGAGAACCATTTTTCTTGAACATGCTGGGTGAAAGGTAACTAACTGATTTATTTATTTTGTGTGTGTGTGTGCTGTAGGAGCTACCCATTCTTCCTCTCTCGGAATTCTGAAGGTGTAAGGGTGCGGTCTGAATTGGGTGAAGGGGTGTGGGTGGAGTCTACCTGTTAACCTTTGCTAGGAGCATGTGAATGTCTTTTGTGGAGCAACATATATTAAAGTGAGGGATTACCCCTGTAACCCAGTAAATGCAATCTCTAAGGGAAAAAGAGGCAAAGAGACGAAATTAGGCGATGTAAAAGTTAGGAGCTGGTTCTTTATTTTCCTCTCTCTCCTATTTGCTATTGTCTTGCTGTGCAAAGTACCTGCTACTGTTTGTTTCTTTTCCACACTCTGAATGCCATGATGCATGGAACAGTGTGTAGCCTAAGGGAATTTCAAGGGCACTTCAGAGGGAAGGAGTTTTTAAAGATAAATCATTTTGAGGAAAGTGTGACACTGAACAAAAATTTCTTGAGATCCGAGGAAGCTAGGTTCCTCTAAAGGTGATTGTTGTTTGCTTTTTTATGTATTAGATATGGGTGGATCCCAACCTCATCTGAAATATCACAGGATATTCAAGAAGAATACCAATGGATCTTTCCTGTTTCAATAACCCATATGGAGATCATCCATGCAGCATATAGAGTGCACAATCAAAATGCTGCATTCCTTATAAGAAGTGCCGACTTTATAAAAGACCTACCTCCAGAGATGACTAGAGCATTTGTGGATACTCATCCTCTGAACAAAGCACAGATGAAGGTAAGTTCAATAAAGGAGAAATGCCTACAAATAAGCCATTTCCACCACGGCATCACTTTATTACTATGACCAGAATCCTTTTCATTCCTCCTTTCATAATCCCCTCCCTTTCTTAATCCTAGTGAGGTTTAAATAACAAAGGCCCTAATTTGTACAAAGAAGCAAAACTCTGAAGGATTTTGGTCGTAGTAGTGTAATGAAGTCATTGTGAAAATGGCCTATTTTGATATTTCACTCATAAACAGTAAGTTCTCAATACTTACATATATGCTAAGAATTGGCATACTATTTTCCAAGGCACTTAAGGACAAATTGAGGCACAAATTTCCAGGACAAGTATTTGATTACTCCTGTCAATACGACGGAATTGATGAATCAACCGGAAGGCCAAAGGTAATATTTGTATTGTATTAAACTTCCAATATCAGTTAATGTTTGTGTATTTATCGTAGAAATACATCAGGCCCCGGTTGTTCAAAAGTTGCATAGCGCTATCCAGCGGATAAATCACTATCCAGCGGATAAGTATTATGGAAACCAATTGCGTCATCCACTGGATAGAGATTTATCCGGTGGATAGCGCTATCCGACGTTTGAACAACCGGGGCCAGGTGCAATGTGATCTTTTCCTGCTGCAGTCTGTCACTCTTTTACAATATAAATTTTAAGTGTTCCGTTGACTCAAGACGCCAGATAGACCAAATGCGAAGTTAGAATCGTATTTTAATTACACGTAAAATTCGACTAAAATATAGGTGTTGTTTTAATGTAGAAAATGATCAGAAAGTAACCTAATACAGCAACAAAATCGACTTTACACTTTCTTCTATGACTACCTCCGTATTTAGACGAAACAGTTCACATTTACACATGCAGTCTCGTTTTCCGGTTAACAAGTTCTGTTTATCTGGTTACCACCTGGTTATCAATAAACGGGTTAGCAACTGATCAGCTTAAAATGAGTTTTGAAGGTGTTGTTACACGGGACGATTCGCAACAACGATTTTTAGCGCAACATACTGTTGCAACATTGTTGCGACATTGATTCAAATGGTTGCGGGCATTTTTCCAACATTGCAATGTTGTGTTGCGCAAAAATCATCGTTGCGAATCGTCCCGTGTAATAGGCTGATTTAGCAACAGGACGGAAACGTCAGTTGACGACGGTAAAGCGCGCAACGCGACTTCCGATGCTCAAATTGCCGCTCTGCCATTGGTCAAGCCGGTAGTTGGATTTGCGCGCGCCGTCGTCAACTGACGTTCCTGTTCTGTTGCTAAATCAGCCTAATATCACCCAACTGAACTCAACGTTTGTTATGCGACTTTAAATAGCGGGGTTCGCGTAAATAAAAAGTACATGCAACGTTTTAAATTTGAACAAAGCGCGAGCAACATAACTAAAACAGCGCGCGCGTGGCGCATTTGAGAGGATTGTTTTTCAGAACATTACGTTTATGTGACAGGAGTAATGAGTGTCTTCTCTTTTATATGTACACTATATACAACTTTGTTGCAGGTGTTGTGATTACCACAAGCGCTCAGCATGAGTTATATTTTGTAAATCAAGCCCTTGTGTTGAGAGCTCATCGTAACCACATTGCATTTAAAAAAAAGATGTACAGTGTAAATTGCTCTTAAGAATCCAAAGTACTTGTTGTTACTTAGAATAGCACTAACTTATTTCTTGTTTTTGGATTTCGAGTTTAGGTGAAGCTCAAAGAGCTGGAGAATTTTAGTGATTCTGTGCTGGAATTTTTTAAATCGGCTATAAGTAGATCAGTTCCTGAGGTGAAACAACAGCTGTCAGCAGAAGAGATGGGTAAGTAAGGCAAAGTCTCAGGTATTAGTTAACTTTCATTTCCCGAAGAAGCTTCAAGTGAATGTTTTAAGGATACTTGTTAAAAAATGGCTCCAAATTATGTACCAGTCAAAACAACACATGATTTCCACCTTGAAAAGACCACACCCTCGAGAACAAGGTAGTAACTTTTTAAAGCACTTCACCTCAAGAGGGGCAACTGTTTAAGTCATCCAGACAGGTTTTCACGTATTTATGTTCCAGAACTTATTCTTAAGCAACCTTCCCTCCACTTACTAGGTTAAGGATTTGGTTGTCTTCTGCTCTGACATTTTCAATTGTCTTTTATTTTGTTTGCACAGAGCTTTCAATGCATAACCACTTTATTGAGCTACGAGGTCAGCTTGTCTTGGGACGAGATGCGGAGGTTTCCACGATCATGGAATATGTTCAAAATGGCACCCTTTCCGATGGGGCCGATACAGAGGGCCTTCCTCCACTGATGATAATAGGGCCCGCAGGGTCGGGAAAGTCCGCGTTGATGTCTCATTGCACTTTGCAGATGAAAAAGGTTTGTAAGCATTTCGATAATCAGGAGTGGTAGGATATAGAGTAATTTTAGTTTCTTCCCCTGTAAACTAAACAAAAAAAATAGAGCGTACGGATAAATCATTGTCTATCGGCAAAAAATCAACTTCAGGGTACTAAGGACATATTTGCTTCGAATACATGCGCATTTCTATTAACCTTGTTTAGCGCGTCTCTCTCTAACCAAAAAGAGTTTCACACAGTTTTATAGTGTGACCTCGACAGCGGTGTTCACCCTCTTAAATTTTAAATATAATCGGAGCAGACCATGGGTTTTTAAACCTTGCGCGTGTATATGTTAGCAAGCGCTCCAAGTTTCAATTAACTATTTGTATTCAAGAGCAATCATTATTCATTCAGTATAATTCGCCCCTTCTGATTGGCTCCATTCCTCCGGCTAATACTTCATAGCCAACTAGCGCTTACCATATTTGGAAGATGCGAGCAATATACCATCGATTCGATGGTATATTTGATTAGAAACGAGGTTTGTCGATGGTATACTTGATATGAAACGAGGCTGCTTTACATCATTGCCTTACTGACATTGTCCTGGATAAAACTATTGCGAGTACGGATGGCGTGGGGGCGCCTTGTGGTAAAAGCGCGGTTATTCCTTAAATCGACTTCGCACTTATTCATGGACGATAGAAAGTTATACCGGTTGTGCGAAGGATTAAACAGGATGGAATTAAAAAGCTTGTCACTTAGAGCTTGCGAAAGACAATATATAATGGTAATGGGACTGAGTGGAGTCCAAGTTGGTCTGTAATCATACGAGGAGTGAACAAAATCGGGCGAGTCAAATTTGTTTAATCATGCACGAGTATGATTACAGACCGAACTGGACGACACGAAGTTCTCTTACTAATGAATCATTATGACAAAATTTATTATATAATAGGCTTTTTACAATTTAAAAAACACAAGAATGATTCGGAGAGTGTTTTTGCTAGCGGTGGAAAAAAGCCATTTAAACTCTCGGGTGCGATTGCGCGTACTGTCCAATTACAGGCATGACTGTACCATTACACAGTCCTACTAGTGCTGAAATCAGGACAGTTGATAGCCAATCAGGTTTGAGAATTTGTTATAGTTATGATTACATGTAAAAATTCGCGAGAGCTAATGACGCCACCTGTTTCAATAAAGGGCGCATACGTATCAGCCCACATATAATAGATTAGGCATTGCATGAGGTTAGATACCTATATGACTAATAGAGTTTTTGGTAGGTATTATAGTGGAGCTAAATGGTTAACGTTTCACCCTATTAGATAGAATCTACCATTATGCCAAACTAAAACAAAAGAACAAAATAATGCGTTGACTGATTGTTAATTAATTTATCACCAGCTTGGATGGCCACTGTTCTACCATTTTGTTGGCGCTGGTCCTGGATCAATGGTTCCTCACAAACTTTTCGAGAAGCTTGTGCGGTGGCTCAAAGGCTTCGATCCAGCAGGTTTGATTCTTTACTGCTTGTTGTGTTTAAATGTTTAACTCTTTTCGCTGCGGGAAGTGCTGGAAGCTCATTGGCTGAAACTAAGCATGGATAGAGCGCCTTGTAACTAACGTAACAGTGGGGGGCTTAAGAGAGTGCGCGCTAACGTAAGAATCAAACACGACATATAAAGCGCCCTATTCACTAACTAAACAATAAAACACTAAACAAAATGTGCTCGACCCAGTAACGTAGCAGTCAAACACAAACCAGAGTTTGCGCTAATCGCTAACGTAGTAATCAAACACAAAATATAGGCGCTAGTCATACAAAAAAGAAGGAACGCGCTAGTCACAAAACTGTGCATGCTAGTCACTAGCATAACAATTGAACAGAGAGCTCGATAGTCAAAGAATCAAATAAGAACCAAATTGCGCACGAGTCACTAGTGTAACAATCAACTAACAGTGAGCCCACAAGTCATTAACCAGAACGCGAAATAGAGAGTTCGCAAGTGACCACCGTAACAATGAAAAAGTGACCGCAAGTTACTGACGTAAAAATAAAACACAGAAAAGAGTTCGCGCTTTTCGTTAACGTAACAGTCAAACACACAACAAAGTGCGTACTTCACGTAAAACAAGCATAAAACGAACAGATGTTTAATGTATTCCAACCAGAAAAGTACAAGCGACGTGCATATTGAAATGAAAGAAAGAACAACTTACATGAAAACCTTGAAACCAAAATAAGTGAATAAACACATTTTAAATGAAATTCAGTTCTTTAGAAAGAGTCCTTAAACTTATATGTCTAAGTAAGCACATGGTCCTGTAGACGTTTGGGCAGCTGGCGTATACTTGTAGATTATCTCGGTGCTTGCACAGGACTGGGCGATTTAGGTGTGTCCGGCACCGGAGGCAGCTGATCGCGCGGATGGTCACATGTTTCCACGCGTGTATCTGGAGGTGTCTCTCCGCGTGTCTCCTCGCGTGCCTCTGTGGAGCTGCTCGGGCGTCTCTACGACGTCGAGATCATCTTCAACTTTGGGAGGCGTTTCATTGGACTTACGTAGGTAAACACGATTTCGTCGGCTCAACCTCGTAAGCTCTTTTTTTCAATGCGACTTTTGACGACACCTTTTTGTCACTCTTTTCTTCCAGCGCGCCAGGGCTCAACTCGCACAGTGTTTCCCGGCTGTAAGGACTGCAGGTCACGTGCGCCTCTGTTGTAGTACCGGGCTTGTTGCTGTTGGCGGCGACGAAGCTTGGTATGGGTTACATCCTCATCTGTTACAGATGGCTTCAATAATCCAGCTGTCATCGGCAAGAGACTTCTTGTCCTTCTGCTAAATAACCGCTGTGCTGGGCTGATCTACATACTCGCAGGCGGCGTGCTCCTGTGGTCCAGTAAGGCAAGAAACGTGTCTAAACCAGTCTTGCTGCACTTCAACATAATTTTCTTTGCTTGTTTCGCCGCACTCTTGGCCTTTCCATTCGACTGATTATGATGTGGACTGCTGGTTCTGCGCTCAAAATCCCACTCTTTAGAGAATTTCAGGAAATCGCGCGAAACGAACCGTGGCCCGTTTTCAGTAACGAGTGCTTGGGAATACCATGTCTCGCGAAATGACCTTTCAGCTTTTTGATGACGTAGACCGAGGATGTACTCCTGAGATGGTCGAACTCGAAGAAATCGCTAAAATAGTCCACAGTCACCAGGTAACTCTTTCCATTTAACTCAAATAGGTCTGCTGCAACGAACTGCCACGGCCGACTAGTTGTTTCGTGAGTGATGAGGGTTTCCTTTCTTTACCCTGTTCGTACTCTCTGCGGGCTTCACATGTTAACACGTAGTTCTTGATCTCGCCTGTCATCTCGGGCCAATAAAAACATTCACGCGCTCTGTTAATTCACTTTTTAGAAGACCACTTCTAGCAGCGTTGGGTTACCACTACCCTTTCCCCCTTGAAAACGGTCGTTCATCTCTTGTATCAAAAGAAGGAGAGGCTGGAAGCGGCAGGGCACTCTTGTCTTCAGGCCAGCCATGCTGAATCACTGTCTTTAGAACCTGAGCAGCGCATCTTGTTCTGTCTCTCGCTGAATTTGCTGTAGCCTGGCTTCAGATATTGGCAAATAATTCATCATGTTGATCGTTTCAAACTCTGACTCAATCTGCGCACCCGAGGGAAGATAAGCTCTAAAAAGCATGTCCGCTAAGAACATTCTGCTTCCCCTCTCGTACTGGAACACCAAATCGTACTTTTGCGAACGGATCAACATTCCTTGCAACGTGTTAGGAGCGCGATGAAGTGATTTTGTGAAGATTGACTCAAGTGGCTTGTGATCAGTGTGGACAACAGTTCTTCTACGGAACGTCAAGTCATGAAACGTTTTAACTGAAAACACGATTGCCAACATCTCCTTTTCAATCTACGCATAGCGAGATTCCATCTCCGTTAAGGCTTGACTAGTGTAGTTGATTGGGTGCCCATTCCGCATTAAAGCTGCGCCAAATCCACTCTGGCTGCTGTCACACTGGATTTCAAGCACTTCAGTGGGCTTGTAGTAGGCTAGAACGGGTGTTGATACAATCAGTTCCTTGACACCATGCCAAGCCTTCTCTTACAGGTCATTTCAACACCATGCTGCATCTTTATCGGTAAGACCTCGGATGGGTTTCATTACATCAGACAAGTGAGGTAGAAAACGGCTAAGATAGTTGACCATTCCATTCGGGCGTAAAAGATCATCTCGTTCCTTTGGGCGTGGCATCTCGACGATTGCTTTTACTTTCTCTGGATCTGGCTTGAGACCCTCTGTGGTTAACAGGTGCCCACGAAATGGAACCTCTTTAACTAACTTCTCGGCGTTGAGCTTGATAGCTTTCTGCTGACATGTAAGCATGAATCCATCCAAATTGCTGTCATGATCAGCCTCACACGTTCCATGGATGAGAACATCATCTGCAATATATTTTACATCAGGGAGACACTGTAATTCTTGGTGGAGACTTTTCTGAAATAATCACTAAAGTTGCAATTAGACATCAAACAAAATGGATGCTAGTCATTTACGGAGCAAGCAAACACAAAAAAGAAAGTTGCCCCACTCATTAACGTGGAAAAACATGTGCCTTAGTCAATGATGGGACAATCAAACCTAAGCTGAGAGCAAGTTGCTAACGTAACAATCAAACAACAAACAGAGTCCGCGCTTCTCACTAACGAGGCAGTTAATCACAAGCTAGAGTGTGCGTGCGCAAGTCAGTAATGTGACAATCAAACCTAAAGAGAGCGAGTTAGTTTCTAACGTAACAAACACAAACTAGAGAAGGCACTGTACATACTCTACTGAGAACAAAAAAAACAACAATAAAAAACTAGAGGCTAACGTGACAAAGAAACGTAAGCTAGAGTGCGCGCGCTAGTCAATACTAATGTGTCAATCAAACCTAAACAGAACGAGCTAGTTACTAACGTAACAATCAAACACAAAACAGCCGAGAGTGCGCGCTTGTTACTAACGGGCAGTTGAACACAATATTGTATACGCTAGTCATTAACGTAGTAATTAATAATGGTAATAGGACTTACGAAATACTAGTGAACAAGGATAACGATTACGTGGAATTTAGATAGAAGAGGCTGCTTGTACTTTCTTGAAAAAGCGGGAAAATGAACGGGAAACGTGGAAATGAAAAAACGGGACCAAAACATAGAGTTGGTGAGGGAGTTACTGAGGGCTCAGTTTTAAGTTAGTGTTTGCTCCCGTCTTTTATTTTCCCGTTCTTCGTTCCACGTTCTTTTAAGTAATATCCCTTTAAACTCTGTTGTGCATTATTCGTTCTTTTGTTTCCGAATTTTTTTATTTTGCTATTACAGTGCAACCCGACAATCTTGCGGCTGGTCAAGGTATGAGCACTGATATGCTCAAAGAAAAGATGAAGAAAGCTTTGGATGAACTTGCAGAAAAACAAGAGGTTTTCATCATAGTCATCGATGCAATCAATCAGGTAATTTGATGTTTAGATTTATTTATGCGTGTGTCCTGCTGAAACAGACAGCGCCAACCTCTTTCCCAGGATTCTCTCCTACCCGTCGGTGCGGAGTGACATGGCTAGGAGAGAGATTTTGGGGACGAGGTTAAGACAACGCAACGTAAAGAGTACCGCAAAGAGAGAACTTGATAGCGCGTTTATTTTGGCTAAATATGCCAAAGGACCCTAGCATGTATTGCAGCTGGAGGTTTCAATGAAATATTTACACTGGTGGCGTAGACTGTCTGTGGTCTCTAAAAGAGTGCATACTATGAGAGGTAGGCAAAAAACAGGGCAGGTAACTTTTCTTTTCGATTCGTACGTTACACTTACTGTTTGTTTCCTTTAAAGCTATCGGACGCTGAAGCTGTAAAACACATGGATTGGTTGCCAAGTGTGTTTCCACGCAACGTTCGTTGTGTCATCAGCGCTGTGACAGGCAGTCACTCTGCAGTCCTGCTGTCTAGTGAACACCGTACCCCATCCCCTGTGCCACTTCATGTAGGAGAACTTAATGAGTCAGCCCGTCAAGAAATCGTCAAACGCACTTTAGGAAAGTACAATAAGGTAGTATTGAAAATCCATTCGTCAGTTATAGTCCCTGAAAAGTGACTCTAACCAGAGTAAAACCACAAGTTTTATGTAAAATCTATGGTGTATTATTCATGTCACGGTTACCTTGAAGTGCGACACTGAATCTAGTATCTAAGTACTCCTTGCGTGGCTGATTTAATTTCTTTTCAAAAACGTCGAGCGGAAAGCTGCGCATAGGTTCGACGCCCCACGTAGTTTCGCGTCTAAGTGTTCACGATGTGTGTTCACCTGCATTCATAATCTCAGGTTTATTAACACTAGTTTATGCCACGACTGACTAGAACTTCACATCCGTAAAGAGATTAACCATTGGCCTACAAGCTTTTGCCCAGTTTGTAGTCTGTTTACAGCTCCTTAGCTATTTTTTTTTTCCGGAAGACCTTCGAGACTTAGTGCCCACTGTAACGCGTAGTCATCCAGATCAGTGTTGGAAGCGGTGGGTCTTGCCTCCTCACAACTCCCATCCCCTCCCCTTAGGCAGATTTGGTGTTCTTGAAACCAAGATGGCCGTCCTTTACAGTAAGCGCTAGTCTAGCTGTTTTGAGATTTTGCTTTTGAATGGCCCAGTGTTGTGTCGAATTGCACAATACGGTTTTTTTGGGTAACGAATATTTGACCCTGTTTACTGCGCAACACAATAATGGCCAATAAAAAAAGGATAGCTTCCCCCCAAATGTCCAACATTGCAATTCGATACCACGCCAACCCCCGGGATTTTCCCAGGGGCAGTTCTGTTGATACGTCGTCCCCCTCCCCAACCTCCGCCACTGCCGAACGTTTTGATAATCTTGAAGGTTGGGCAGGTTGTGAGAAGTTGTAACTAATTTCTTTCCTTTTGTTGTTTTCTAGAAACTGGACACAGAACAGATGAAACTGTTGATGGCTTCACCGGGAGCTTCTAACCCGCTGTGGTTATCTTTGGCTTGTGAGGAACTTCGCGTTTTCGGAGTCTTTGAAACGATCACGCATCACATCAAGAGTTTACCAGCCACGATAAAGGAACTTTTGCAGCTCATAATCAACAGACTGATCAACGAGGATGAAAATAACAATGTTCAAAAGGTGCGTCTTTTTTGTTTCTAAACCCAGGTAAACGAGAAGGGACACATTTTCAAGTGTGGAAGATTTCATGAATTAAGGTCATTAACCAGCTGTCGTTTTCGTTTCATTCCTAAAACAACTTCCAACACCAGTGATTTTACGCAACTGCACGGCAGAGGAAGAAGACAGCAAACTGGCCTTGTGTGACAAAAGTTATGTTCGAACAAATGTTTTGCCAAACTTCTCTCCAGCTAATGTTTTTGTAAAAGGCGAGAACACAATAAGTTGTGATCGCAACAAAACATACAGGTAAAAGCTCTGTCACCTTTGTCACACACACTCGTTTTGCCGTCCTTTAGTTTTCTTTCTGCCGTTCTGTTGGGTAACTTTACACTATCTGATCAGTCATCAAAACAAAAATCGACGAATAGTTTCTACATCACATTTTGTTTTTATGCTATAAAATGTTGTTATCGTGTCAGCCTTTTTAAAGGCGCTGCTGAAGAGGTTTTATTTGAGTTGGCATATCTCGCGCGTAACATTTTGATTTTCGCTAGAGCCCTATGTTAAAATTCAGTTTTTAAATTCCTTTTCACTATAAATTCTCAATTTAATTTAATGAAACTTGCGTCGTGTAAATAACACCATGGTTAAGTAAGGTACAGTCAAACCTCGCTTTTCGGACACCCGCTTAATACAGACACCTCGCTGCTTTGTCTCTGGGGAAAGAAAGCCCTTAGATTTTCTCTAAATTCAACCCGGCTTAATACGGACAGCCAGTTAATACGGACACTTTCTATACCCCTCTCAGGGTCCTTATCAACAGGGTTTGGCCGTAGGTCATAATACCTATACTATGTGTACTTATCTGCCTACGTAATATTATTTGTTCTTTTAGTGAGTTCTATTTTGAAAGAACGGTTTAATTACTCGTTTTCTTAGAATGAATTATTTTCGATTTTATTTCTGAAGATGTTAGGTTTCCTGGCCTGCAGCAGAGGTGGATTAAGTGAAACTGAACTTCAATACCTTCTGAGTGACAATTTAACAGAACCAGTTCCGATGATGATGTGGGCGGAAGTAAGAAGAACGCTGAAGCCATTTCTAAGGAACACTGCAAGCGTAGGAGAAGAAGAAAGACTAGAGTTTTTCCACGCTTCCATACAAGAGGTAAGAGGATTTCATTCTAGTTAGAGAACGCCCTTAAATAAATACAAGGCTAAGTTTGATACCTCCTTTCTCATGCATAGTGGCAATTCATGCAGCTTTCGTGTCAATTAACTTTTTGGTACTGGCCATTTTGAGGTCGTCCGTGAGTCTGGATAATCTGTGTTATGTCAAATTCCTCACTTCAGATACTAAAGGGAGATTGGGTATAAGCTTTCGGCGCAACGAGTTCTGGGATGGTTTGGGCGGACAAGCGTTACTTATAATTGGTTAATGGCTGCCTTGAATACCATCGACCAATCATAACTAACGCTTGTCCACCCAAACGATAACAGAAATCGTTGCACCGAAAGCTTGTACCCATTCTCCTTATAGTTTCTGGAGTGGGCAATTGCAGTACTAAGGAAAATGCACAGGAAAATGGGTTAAAATTCTTTCCCCCAAGACAGTCCCATAGTGGTGGTTGAGGTGTTGATGTCGATGGAGATTATGGTGATGATGATGGTGGTGGTGGTGGTGTTGGAGATAGCGATGGCGACTGCGATGATGATGATGATGATGGTGGTGGTAGCTGGTGATGGTGGTGTTGTTGGCGAGAGCGATGGCGACTGCGATGATAATGATGACGACGATGATGGTAGTAGTGGTGATGGTGGTGGTGTTGTCGATAGCGATGGCGACTGCGATGATGATGATGGTGTTGGTGGCAGCTGGTGATGGTGGTGGTTTTGTCGATAGCGATGGCGACTGCGATGATGATGATGGTATTGGTGGTAGCTGGTGATGGTGGCTGTGTTGACGATAGCGATGGCGACGGTGATGATGGTGGTGGTGGTGGTGGTTACTAGCTAGTGATAGTGGGGGTGTTGGCGGTAGCGATGGCGACTGCGATGATGATGATGATTTCATTATTTATATGCATTTAAGTGCACTTACATTTGGTACACCAATAGTTCTCTTTTCGTCTTCACAGGTTGTTCAAGAAACCATTCTCGTTGGTTCTGAGGAAAAAAGGAAATGTCATCTAAAACTTGCCGATTTCTTTGTCGACCACTGCAACGATGACGACCGAGTGATATTCATGGCACCTGAACAACTCAAACAAGCTGGTGAAAAGAAAAGACTCCTGGAATTTTTGAGGAACGATAACCGCTCCAAGAACCGATCAGGATTCTGGAAGAACAACTACTATAAAGTAAGTTGTGTCCTTGATTTATCAACCACTACCCACCTCAACCGGAAGTGTAATGTTTGGCGTTCTTGGACAGTGGTTTTGTCCAAATTTTCGGGGAACGTTTCTTCATAAAACTTAAGGCACTTTTGGATGCGTCATGGAAGATTTAAGGGGAAAAGGGTCGCTCTCGATTTCGCTGAAAAACGCCAGTTTGTTTAGGCTCCCTACACTCACTCTTTGTTTTATGAGAATGTTGTTTTCCCGACCCAGGCTTTTCTGTCGATTTTAGGCAGAACGTATTCTTAAATTATACTTAATTATAATTATAGCTTATGGTATTTTCACTTTAGAATTTACTGGCGTTTTAATTGCCAGTGTTCTGTGTCTAGATCTGTCTCCAGCGCCGTTTGGGGAAAAGAATAATTTTATACGGTTAAGTCAAAACATATAATTGTACTGTATTTACGAATTTTCAACATACAAGCTGAAATTGAGTCCCTTTCAAAATCTCAGCCTCGGGTTTATTCTAAAAATATTCTTAGAATTTGACAACTTTCAGCCTTAATATTCTTATAAATATGTTCTAATAGAAAAAAGAGTATAGGACCACTGTCGCTCACTTGTGCGAAAACGTCGGCCACAACCACTAGCTAAAGCAATATCGTTACTGCTATATACCCCCTCAACTAACAGAGCCATACGTCTCTGTTACTATCTCTAGTACCACTATGACTACTAATAGTGTCACCGCTATGAATATAGTAGTATATGGAGTAGTATACTTGATCTTAAATAGATTGCATTGTCATGTATGTAAAGCCACACGTATGTTGTGACTACCCAACTACGAATGAAGACTCTTATTATTATTGTTATAGTAACAGTCGCGTACCGATACCACTACCATTACTATATCATGTGCGCTAGCAATTTCATATGCAACACCTCCCTAACCATCACCACTGTCAGGAGACTTCATGGTTGAGCAGGGCGAAATTCGCAATGTTTAGCACGATTTATGTTCGACGCTAGCATTTAACTTGTAAACGATTCTTTCAGGTCAAGAGATCATAATACAATAGCAGGGTTTATCGTTTTCATCAATACATCACTTACGGCCCGCTGTCCTCACTGTCCAATCGAAAGTGAAAGAGCAGTGAAAACCTGTGTAACTTACACCAGCGGAAAAGGCACCAATTTAACCCTTTCACTGCCAAATGTGGCCAAAGGCAAAATTCGACAAAAAATCCCAAATTTCATTTTGTAAAATGTTGAAAAACAAAAAGCACCATGTGAAAGTACACTTACAGACACGGTTTGATGTCAATGGCCACTCCATAGCATTTCATCCACTGACTCAAAAGTTAGAGCTACCTCACCAAATCCCATTATTCACTCTGTCAGTGAAAGGGTTAAAATGAACGTAATTGAACACTCCCTCGATGCAGTGTTTATGCTATTGATCAAGTCAGTTGGTGGAAAATCTGACACATCCACGCCCTTTTTGCAGGATCTCCGTTGCAACAAAATGCTTCATGTAGGAACCCCGTTCGCCCATGACGTTAACATTTGTCAGTTCTGCAGTATGAGGAGAGGTGCTTTTGGAGGAATGCCATTTCCGAATAAAGATTCCTGCTTTATTTGCGGGCGTTTCTCTACGTGGAAGGATGATCGCCATGCGGCCATGGTATGCAATTTTCACAAACCCCCTCCCGGACCGCCAAACATGAAAATGTGTTTTCTGTGCCGAAAGCCTGCTTTTCAAAACGCTTGGAAGGTTTACCTTTGTCCGTTTTGTGGAATTTCGGGTGTGAAGAGGTGTGCAATGCTTGTTGGGGAATAATCATCTTGCATTAATTTGTTGTTGTTGGCAGCGTTAAGAAATTTGTCCACAATGCCAAGCCCTCCAACTGTTGTACTGTAGTATTTATACATTTAGTTTCGAATGACTCCTGAACTCTGCGTGAAGGTTGTAGCTGCTTTGAGATTAGTAAAAGATGGTTAACTGGTTAAACGCGCAGCGGTAGGCGCACAACGTATTGGAGGATTCATAGCTATTCATTATAAAGGAGAAATGCTCGGAAATGCAGAAACGCCATGTAAGCCACGTTAATTGATTCATAACTTGCTAAGAGAAACTTCTTGCTTAGATCGCCCTCACATTACACTGAATCCGAAATAACTGTGACTTCCTTTTAACAAGACCATGAAACCTTTATCAAGGCCAGTTTTAGTCAAAGGACTTCATGGATTGGGTTAATTCAGATTCAAGCAAAGAATGCTAAGTACGATAACGTTCAAGTTGAAATAGGTAGTAAAGTAGTAAAAGTTAACTGGTATTTTAGGTAGCCAGTACCCAGGCCCCCGGGAGCTATATTAGTACCCCAGATATGTGGCCTGGTGGTTAGCTAGAGGTTAAGAGTACTCAATTGAAGTTCTTGATTGAACGATCGATTGCAGTTGATTGGTTGACTATAAAAGGGACCATGGCGTTCTTTTTTTTTTTGATATTACGCTTCTTTGAACCCTAATAAACATATAATCAAAGAAACCACTGAAATGGTGCAGTTCAGTTTTATTTAAAATTCCTCTACTACTATTATATATACCTCAAGTATAACAAAATGTCTTGCTTTTTGACGACCAGGATAAAAACGGATTGTAGGGTTAAGGAATCGGGCCAACGTTTTCAAGGTATACTCCTGTGTTGCCGAAAACTGACCGCGGACCTATCGTATTTTCAATCGCAAGTATGACAAAATACGATTTATAACTAAAGTTCAACTTGACCAGATTAAAGGGAACTCACCATGAAAGCGGACCTGTTCTCCCAAAATACAATTTTCAAGCTTACACCTGTTGAACTAAAAGATGGCCGTTGCCTTCAGCAGTGGATAAAAGGCAGGGTCTCTTTTTTCTCAATGTATGTTGAGCGGTAGACGTTAGCGTGAAAACTGACTTCCACGAGGAAAAGGTTAAAGATTTTCCGCGCGCTTGCGTGCATCGCTGACCATATTCTATATGGCCATATTCTACTAAATCATATTTTACAGTGTGTCAAAGCCCTTTAAAATATATTATTTTGTCTCCAGAAAACTACTTAGCAGGAATTTATGTGGGATTTATTTTACGTTGGTTTAAAGAAGAAAGAATAAATAGGTTTTGCAGTCGAATTTTGGGCAGCTAAGAAGGAAATATTATACACAAACAGACGCGCAGAATAGTTTTTGAATAAATTCCGAGACAGCAAAAAAGGTAACAGATGATTTATATTATACTGAAATAAAAAAAAAAGAGTGAAAAGATCGAAAACAAAGGAATAAAAATTGATTGATGACCCATTTTTTTTTTCTTATTTTCTCTTTTCTTTGCCTGATATAGCTTAATTTTTCAGTTGCTTGGCAGATTAGCTTGGTGGTGTAGTGGTGATGGAGAGAGTGTCGCGTATGAAAGGCCCGGGTTCAATTCTTGGCGATAAACTATTTTTTTTTGAGTCAATAATTTAAACAACAGCTAAAATTTATTTCTTTTCGTGTTGGTTGATAAACTTGACAATATTCTCAACGAGCGGGACGTGTATTTCGATTTTCTTCAAGCTTTTACAAGATTTCGTTCAAAGTAGGTGGGGGAGGGGAGGGAGGAAGGGGGGTTACGCAAATGTGGCTACCTTAGGAAGAGGGTGCGCTTATCATGTTTTGTGTTAGCATAAATATCCGAAAAACTGTCCTCATACTTATTCCTGGCGGTGTAGCGAAAGTTTTAAAAATCAGTACCGAAGCGGGTAGAGATTGACACTTAAATTGTGATAACCTTTCCACAAAATAAAATCAGAGGGAAAGGAGAAGGAGGCGCTTAATCAAGAAAGGCCCTAATTTGCTAGTTTTCCTGACGGGTCCTAATCATACTTAATCTCTCTCTTACCTAATCATTAGCTGATCACACAGGCGTAGTAATTGACTGATTACACAATGATTACGTATGGATAAGGAAGGATTAAAATCAGTGATAATGGGACTAAATGGAGGCCATCTCGGTCCACAAAAGATTCGATTTATCGCTCTTTTTCTAGTTTACGAGTAGTCCCCATTTTTCCTCAGGGATAGTAGAGCGAGCGAAACTCGCCTTTCTCACGTGGGGTGATTTTCCCGCGCGTTTGCGTTTCACTCGCTCTAATATCCCTAGGGAAAAATGTGGACTACTCATTGCCCACTTGTGCGTAAGTAACCTCCTTCAAAAGCACCCTTGATATCAGTATTTCACGGCTTTAAGGAAAAACAGTCTTGTCAAGCACTATTTTAGCCCAGAACCACCCAATAGAACGCCGAAGTTGCTGCACCTGAAAGTTTTGTTATCGATGAAAGCCAGACTGAAGCTATTGGTGTTTAATTGACTAGTGACTTTTAAAATTCCCTACCGTCGTGAAGTGAATCGACTATTCACTGTCTTTGTTGTTACTTTTCACAGACTTTTTTTTGCACATTCGTCAGTTTTTCAACAAAAGTAATAAGTCCTGTTTCAAATAAGCGCCCTCCCTTGAGGTACCATGAGTAAATAAGCGCCTCGGGCCCTTAATCGAATCATTGTCCTAATATTAAATGCTGAAATTAGGGTTGCTAATGGCCAGTCCGATTAGAGGATTTTATTATTGTTTTTATTTGGGATGATCTGATATGTCTTGGCCATGAGCCCGGCAGCAGTTTTTGTTGTAATTGAAAGCTTCCAAAAGTGGTCCTGGTAGTTCCACCACTGACTGGAAATAGCAAAACCAAGATTGAGTTTTCTTTTTTTAAACTAATTTTGAACAAGAGTTCGAAAGTGATACTCTGTATAACAAGAGGATACGAAAGTATAATTACGTAATCAAATTTTTCCTGTTTACTGTTGTGTCCGCTTGGTAGTGTAGAGGTGATGGGGTGGGTTAAGTTTTCAAGCCCGGGTTCGATTCTCGGTTGTAGCTTTTGTTTGTTTGTTTGTTTTTTTTTTTGTAAGGACAGACTTTATCGGAGTGTCTTTGACATGGTATTGACCTATTAAGAAAACAAAATTTTCATAGTGACAGCTACGAGTTCTTAACAGCATTTTCAGTTATAACTCGCTAGTCACCGACATTGATTTCACAAATGACAATAGAAAAGACGCAGGTGGAGAGCCACCTAATATTCAAATACTGCATTACATAAAATGAATTAATATTGATTTGATCCTTAATTTGCGTGTGCTTTAATTTAAAAAGGCAGGGGCACCAAGACTTGAACACTTATTATCCAGTAACGGTGTTTGTATTAATTGAAAACCACCAAAAATGGAACTGGCCTTGCTAAACTTTACTCAAAACATGTAAAAGAGTGGCTTAGTTGACTTAAAGCCTGTTAACATGGGGGTGGTTGTTTCTAGTTTGTCATGATACAGCATTCTTGTTCAGCACGCGTGCAATGACCGCGCATGGCTGACTTTCGAATGCTCACAGAGATATGATAATTTTGGTACGGCCATTTTCTTTTTAGAGTTTTTAATTCTCGGCATGATGTACATTCATCTGGCTGGAGACGTTACGTGACGGGAATCCCTTCTATTTTCTCAACTTGAACTAAAAACAAAGATTACTAAATTGTCTTTGTATAATTAAATTTCTTACTGTTTCCGTTGTGTCTGCGTGGCAGTGTAGTGGGGAGGGGACCGGTTAGGTTTGTGAACACGGGTTCGATTCTTGGTGGCAGACTTTTTAATTTGTTTTTGGTAGGGAAAGGCTTATTTTTTTCACAATCTCTTTAAAATAGAAATTTGAACGTCAAAATCTTAACGGAATTTTTCCGTAATAACCCGCTACTCATTTTGAGGGTGGCTGCAATGTTTACAGCGGGGAGAGACTTTAGTTAAGGTTCACAAAATTGCACCCATGTTTTTACGAGTAAGTTTTTAAAAAGCTGATCCTCCCTTATGAAACATTTATCATCCTTCGGATACAAACAAATTTAGTGGCCCAGTTTACATGGAGGTAGGGGACCCCAGGTAGGTCAGGTAACCCGCCTGTCCATATAATCTCTCACCTTAATTTGATCACGTTTACATGATCGGTGGGTTGACCCACCACCACAAGTTACCTTACCTACCTGGGGTGCCCCACCTCCATGTAAACAGGTTTCTAGGAAGGTAGAAAACTGGAAAAAACTTGAAACAGTGAGGGCCCATGTTTTCTCACCTTCAAGTTTATTTAAAAATGGTCACATCACAGGATTTTCATTCAAAGTGTCAAAATGAAGACACAAAAGACAGGGCCGAAAGAACTACCGAAAAGATTTCTCGAAGACTCGAAGAAAGCTGATTTTCTGCTTCTTTCAAATAGGAAGTTTGCGCCGGCGTGCTTAAGATGCGCCTTAATTTTTTTTCTCTTTAAAGGCGAGGAGGTTAAGCTTTTAAATAACCCTTAATTCAAAGGCTGCATTTTAGGTCAAATTTCAACTATAAGACAAAGAGTTTGGAAAATACGCCAGTACCCCTATTACAAAAAGGTGCTAAGTTGTATTTGTATAATTAAATTTCTTTCAGTTTCTGATGTGTTGGCGTGGTAGCGCAGTGGTGTGAGGTCCATATAAGTACTTGAACCCGGGTTCGATCCTTGGTTGCAAACTTTTTGTTTTTGGTAGGGAAGGACTTATTTTTTCTTAGTCTCTTTTAAAAAAAAAAATTTGAATGTAAAAATCTCAACGGTATTTTTCTGTTATAACCCGCAACTTCTTTTAAGGTCGACTCCAACGTTCACAGCGAGAGATGACTTTGGTCAGGGTTCCAAATATTGAACCCGCGTTTTACGAGTAAATTTAAAAGAAATGCTGATCCTCCCTT